AGGTTTTTGTATGGAAGTGAGGAAGCCTCGTCCTCCAGAAACCTTTTTGATTATTAATCACTACAAAAAGAAGCTAAAGAAGATATAGATAGCATCATCTTGTCACCATTATCAAATTTATTTTAATCTGCATTTGACAATGGCGACAAGATGATGCCGACACATCATGTTATAGCGTTTCTTTGTCTTTTAAAAAGAAGCTACTGGCATATAACCACCAATAGAGGTAAAATAATTATTAGGAAGAAGGAAAAATTCTAGGCCTTAAAGGGCCTTAGTCAGCCACACCTTTGTTTTTATTTACATGCAAGAGTTTGACTACTATATGTTATGTGGAGCAAGCCAAAACAAAGGAAATCACTGTGAATCTTCAGAAGATAATTAAGCATAGTTACTTACAGTAAAGCAATAAGATTGCGTTTCACCATGTAATGTCAATAATTTGGATGGCATTGAAAATGGCAGAGGCTGAGTAGGGTCCTTTAAACTGAAAGGCAAAGATTATATAATACTACACCTCCCAACTTTTTCAAAATCTAGGACATTAGATTTTTATCAATGAAGGGAGACTGTGCTAGTATTTTTGAAGATTTCCAAATGGGTTTTGAATATTTCCAGTCGGGCAGTGTTTCCCCAAGCATAACACCATCAACAGACATTTCCCTTAAAAATCAGAGTGTTGGGGCAGGTCTGCAATCATTTGCACGGAGATTTCTTTCTCCTGATTAGGTAGAGCTTAGTTAAATTTATACAAAATTTTTGAAAGTGTGTTAGTTAAGACTGTATTAGCTCAATTTTTTTTTTTGATGTGAGATTCTGGTTTATAGGCATAAGGTGTGAGTTTGTTCGTTTTCGACCTGCAGAACTGAAGAGAGACTATTGACTGAAGCATGATAGATGGCCTTGCCAACCTGTGTCACATGACACAACATGGCTCCAACCAACATTTTGTTGTTAAAAAGAAATGACTTGGTTAAATGTGCTGTTCTGCCCTTCTTTTTGCAGTACATGTAAGAACAAGACACCCAGTTTACACATGGCTGATGATACAATTGTTATCACTCCAGATCATCTTCATGTTGATCAAGTCACTGACATTGTTGGTGCACCTAGCGCAGGAGCAATCTCATTGTTTGTAGGTAATTAATTCTATTACCTGTAGTTTAACACTGAGAGGTACATAAAAATTATATAGTACCTTATAACCAAGTGCAAAGGCTGTACAGTGAAACCCCACTCTACGGACACTCGCTTAATACGGACACCTGCTTCTAACGGACAGTTTTCTTTGTCCCGACAACTAAAAAGCTCATGTATTTTCTCTTAAATTAGCCTGCTTAATACGGACACCCGGATAATGCGGACAGTTTATCATGTCCCTTTGGTGTCTGTATTAATGGGGTTCCACTGTACTAGGGAATATGAGCCCAAGGTCCTGATAGTACAGGCCAAGTGTAGCATGATCACTACAGAAAAAGACCAAGCGACAAATTCTCTCAGTATAGTCATGAGCAAACTTGGTTAACCATGTGATGTTGCCTTTTCTTTCCAACTGTCTTTTTGCTCTTTTTTTGAAGATGTTGTTAATAGAGCAATCTGATTGGTTGAGTTCAGTTATTGGCCCTTTGAACTTACCTAGTCAGACTACTAATCCAGTTCATATCCACTGCTTAAACATTCTTTGCATTCCTTCATAGGAACAACAAGAGATAATTTTGAAGGTAAGAAGTGATGTTCTTGCTAATCAAAGCGACAGGGCTTTAGTAAATAATTTCACCACATTTTTGCACCCATGCCATCATTGTCAGTTCTGCCGCTGCCCCCATCATCACCATCATCACCATCATCATTGTCAGAGGGTCATAGAAATTATTAGACATTAAGTATTTCCTGATCAATGTTTATTTCTTAATTTTTGAGTTAAGTGTTAAATGCTGTATTATTGGCCAGTGTGATCTAGACCACCACTGATTAGAAGCCCTTGGTTGGCAGTGAAGATAGCTAAGCCACTGAATCTTACTATTGCTTACTGTAATTGTTTTAATTTTGTGGTGAAATGATTTTATTTGAATTCATTATAATTTATTTTTAGGAAAAACAGTAGTCCGTCTAGAATATGAGGCATACATGCCAATGGCCAGATCAGAGATGCGCAAGATTTGTAAACAAGTGCGAGAAAAGTGGGACGTAATAAAAATAGCCATCTTTCATAGAATTGGGTGAGTTTAACCTTTGGACACATCTAAAAGCCCCACAATTAATGTTTGCTTATTAAACAACTGGCCCTTTCCTCCACCTGATGGAAGGGAAGTAACAAAACTATCAAACAAATGGCAACATACTCAGTAACTATCATTTCATTCACCACACTAGGGTATCATGCACATACCAACGTTGAAACCACTTTGTACATAGCCTGCGTAGCAAGCGTACCCATACAAAGAGCTTTTCCACATTCTGGATGCGGATAAATTGGAGTGAGAGCAAAAACTCGCTTCGTCAAATTTTTGCTCTCGTTCCAATTTATGCGTGGTCAGAATGCAGAAAAGCTCTTTGTACAGGAACACTTGCTACACAGGCTACTTTGTACAGAATTATAAACTGGTCGCACACCTGCTCAATGGCTTTCATTTGAATGGCCCAAAAGTCAGGTTTTATCTGAAGGTTGCTCAACAAAGGTTTTACGGTGTGTTCACACTCATCTGTTGACTTGGAAATAATTAACATGGAAGCTGTAATAAAACTAATGTTACTCTTTTTGCAGAGTGGTCCCCATTGGTGAAGCAAGTGTGATTATTGCAGTGTCGTCTGCCCACAGAAAGAATTCGCTGGAAGCTGTACAGTACTGTATAGACACTTTAAAGGCAACAGTCCCGATATGGAAGAAGGTATAAATATTAAGTTTTCTGATGTCATTTTAATCAGTTTGATATGGGAGCTAGTTATTTTGCCAATCACCAGCCAGGATAATTTACAAATTTCTTTTGTCAATTTTCTGTTCTGTACAGGAAGTTTATGAACAAGGGGAGCCCAACTGGAAAGAGAATTCAGAATGCTTCTGGACGAAAAGAGGTGGATCACCGAAACAGTCCACTGTTTAGAATAAACCTTTTCACTGTATATAGAACTTGAACTTTAATCTACGGATTAGTGAATGTGCTTTGCTTTAATCATGTTGTGATTCTAGAGATTTTTAAATATTGTTGTTTCACTAGTTAAGGAACATAAAAAAGTGTAAATGTTTTTTCATGTGTCCCTGGAGCCTGAGTCATAAAGAGTGAAGTCATGTGATTTGCAAGATAGGCAGTTGTCTTCATTAGTTTTGTCTACCAACCCCACACTTAGATTTCCGTCCTTACACAGGTACAAAATAGCTTTCAAACAGGTCATTTGTTACAGGTGCCCTGGAGTAACCTTGTATTTTATAAGAATTTTTTTTTTTGTGGTGTGCTGCGGTGTTTAACACTCTTTATTATATTTGTATCAGTAACCAACAGAGGAGAGTATAGCTATTTAAGTAAACAAATGTGCTATAATGTAAAGTATATAGTAATAAATTGTAATTTATAATCCACCATTCCAAGAAAAGAGAACCAAGAAAGGCATTTAACTGAGAAACACAACTTTTAAATTGTAAAGACTTTTTCATGCATTTTAATAATTCTCAATAAAAATAACAATCAATCCTTGAGATTATAATTAGGAATTCAAAAACCAAAAACAAGGAATGGTGTAAAAAAGAGTTAAGTTAAAGTTAATTTACTCTATTCATGTCAAGGGTTGCTCCTATAATTTCAGGCTTCTCGGCCATCTCAGTCTTGGGCTGAAATTCTGTGACCTGTTGCCAAGTGTACAATTAGGAACAATGACTGTGATTGTGAGAGAACCATTATGATAATCATAGTCATTGCTATAAAATATAAGTTATGATATGGATTCCAAGCTTTTTTTTTTTTCATGTTTTTCAACCACTACAGTATTGAAAAATTTTAGACTATTTTGTTGCGAGTAGTGTTATCTATGCACACTTCAAAGAAATTACTGAGTCGGGGCTCAAAAAAAGTGCCGTCCAGCAGTCCAGGAGAAGTAGATTTTCCTTCTGGGAAAGTAACTTTTCACTCTCATTTGCCTGATGGGCAAGGGATTAGGCAAGTTGTCAACCAACTAAATCATTAAAAGAGCAAACTATTTCTTGCCCAGGGCAAGCAATATTTGAGAGATACTTGTACTAAGGGCAAGCTGGAATTCAAGTTTTTTTGAGCCCTGTCAGAGTAGTTTATTTAGGAAACCTTCACAGTTGGGACAAATGCCAGGGGGGAGGAGGAACTACCATAAAATTAGTGCCAGAGATTTTCCTCTGAAACTTTGTAAACAAGCCCTCAAAGGTGTAGAAGGCATTTCAGTTTTGCACTAGAAGGTAGACACTATATATCATCAACATCCCCACCCCAACACCTGCACAAAATAGTTCAGGAATGTCAAAAGCAAACACACTGATTAAGTTTGTATCCAATTTTTTTTTTCCCTGGCACCTGGAACTGCTAATTTTCTTTTTCAATTGTTCATAAAATTTCTCAGTTTGCACAACTTATTTCTAAGCAAGAGTAATTTGTCCCACACTGGAGCTATAAGTTCTGCAGAGAATACCACAACACTGAGGTACCAACATCTTATTATTTAATTGTGTGGAGCATATATCTAACCATGCATTCCTAATGTGGCAATTAAATAGATGTCACTGATTTTCCATGACAGTGAATTGCAAATGCAAGCAATAAAAAAAAGAAACACATTGTTCTTTGTACTGTGTTTTCACATTTATTTCAATAATCACAGGTTACCATTTTTTTTTTATTTCACAGCCTGTAAAAGAATAATTATTTAGGGGTATTCTTTAATAGTCCAAGGTTTCACATCAACCTCTTGTGTATGGCAAGAGATATTTTCAAGATGAAGTCTGACTAGGTTTGTAACACTTAGAATGTTGTGGTGTCCAAATCAACATATTTTGATTGCTAGTCTTTCAATTGCACTTCAGAATTCAAGCTTTGGCCATGCCTTCCTATCTACATTGAATTACGACATTGAGTCAGGAAGGAAAATTTTGATGACCAGAAAAAGTTTGTGTCCTCCTTGTTACAATACACTGAGAGCCAAGTCTATTCTCTGAATTTCTTTGCATCATAGCGCATCAAGATTAATTCAGTCCCTGTCAAGTGACATCTTGTTTGTGCCATTATTGAGAGTAATTTCCCAGTTGACCTTTTAAAACTTTCACACACCAAAACACCAAAAACTTCACCGACAACAACACTGTTAAAAAATGTCACTACACTAGATATTGTTGCTGCAGGTGGCTCAACATGGCTCCCATTGTTGTGAGAATTAAACATGGGTGTCCTTGAATTTTAATGTGAAGCAATGTACTGTGAGAGAATGAAAATGGTCTCATCCACTTGCAGCTCACTCTGTTCTAACCTGTAGACCAAAAAAGAAACTTTAATCAGCAGCCATTTTGGCAGACAGCACACAATTTAAGTTTTTTAGGACATAATGTAGCACTACATGTAGCAAACAAACTGATTCTGAAATGCGGTTTCTTTTTATACTTTCCATAGATATCTAATGTGACTTTCTGTTAATGTTAATTTGTGATCAAGTAAGATTGTGCTAGAAACAAGGCCGGAATTGTTTACACTCTCTCCTAATTCAATATAATTCTGAAAAACGTGGCGATAAATCAAGACAAAAATCCCTAGTTGACAGTGTTTTCCTTACAGTGTACTGAAGATTTTAACAAGTTAATATCAGCAAACAATCATTCCAAGTCCTTATCTTACCTGTGTTAACCTGTGCCCATTGCTAGCTCCCTCAGTTCTGGGACATGCCACTTGACTGTATGCATCCTTCAGGACTTATATTTTACCTAACTATCTAATTTCTTATTAGTTTCTGCTGTTCTAGCTACATGTACATAAATGTTGTCACCATCTACATGGTATTTGCAAAAATGAGCACTGTTTAAACTCCTGTTATAATGACACAGGTCGTAGAATGATCAACGCAAGTTCTCCTAAACATCTATAGATAATCAGTCAACAAAGTAAACTGTCAACAGATGTTTCCATTTGCCTTACAAAACAACGTTTGTTTGACAGACTGGTCTTTGAAACTATGTTGCTTAGCAGAATCACGGATCAATGCTGCTTTGGTTGTGGTTTGCATCACTCCCTTACTTTCCCAACTCACGATTTCCTTCTAATTGAGACATGAGAAACTAGGAATTCTGTATTTGTTAACAAATGTATTTGGTCTTGCTTACTTGGCAAGGGTGAGCTTCAGTTTCCTGAGCTGCTCTCTCTCTGCAGGTATAATCAGTTCTTGAAGTTCAGCAATAGCTTCTGCTGATGTCTCTTCACCATGCTGAGCCTTCAGTGAGTTTATTGTGGCTTCTAACCTCTCTTCCTTTTCCACTAGACGTCTAAACACAACCATTCAATCACAAGAAAACAAATTTAATCAACCTTGAACATCAATTTGCCAGCTAGAGAAAAACCAAAGGTTCATTAACTCTGAGTGGAAGGATAAGAGGCAATGAATAGTGGACATATGCTTGAGACAGTCAATTCAATAATGACTCTGAAACAGGCAGGAAATATCATGTTCACAGCTGACTTAAATGAGAGCTTAAATCCCAATCAGAGCTTAAATCCCAGTCAGGGCTTAAACTTAGGATAAGTTACTGTCCAACTTTGTAGCTATCTTCACAGAAGCATGGCGGCCTAATAGTCACTGCATTGGATCGGATTTAAGCTCTGACCTGCATTGTTGTATTGTGTTCTTGTACAAGACACAAAATGCTCTCTTACAACCTCTCTCCAGCCAGGAGTAAAATTACATGTAAGTAGTGGCAAAACTTTTAGGCAACTTCACAAAGTGAGGGTGGGGGGGGGNGGGGATGTGATAGATTGGCATGTTACAGAAGCCAATCTTAAGCAGCAGCACAGATGAACCATTTTGCTCCTCCAATCCACTGGATTGATCAAGAAGCAAATTTCAAGTCCACCCAATCTCCAAGTAAAGCATTTTAAGTTTGAACAGAAACTGAAGTGTTTTGTAAGTCAGCCAGCAGCATTGACTAAATAAGTTGGGTAAACATTACATGTATTTGCTTCTTAGCAAATTTTTATAATCAAGGATTGTTTGACCATGCAACTCAAATACAGCAAACAAGCACTCTCTGACCAACAGGAAACAGAATTCCCAAACTCATTTCCAACTCATTCCCAAACTCATAAGTTCTGGAAATGTGGTCAAACACGGTCTTTCATGTTTGATAATATTACATCAATGTTACCTATGTTCCTGAACTTCAGTCTGTCGTCTGCTCATCAGGTTTCCAAGTGCCTGCAGGATACACAATGAGTTATATAACAAATGAACTAGACTATCACCGATACACTTGATATAAAAATAACTGTTGTGGAAACTACCTTCAAGAACTGCAGGCTGGTATAAAAAGTGCATGTCATGGGAGAAACCTCAACAAACTTAATATTTATACAAATTCATAAGAAAATTGTCTTTATTTGGCCAGTACCTGTCTTATGTACATGATTGAAGAATGTCTGACGATAATCACCACAAGGACACTTCTCCTCCCTTGCTTGTCATTGGTTAAAGATTGTAGAACTTGGATGCTGGATATTTTTAAATATTGAATACTACATATGTCAGACATAAGACTGGACTGGGTGAGATAGTCTGGCTGGTTGCCTTGTAGGTCTCTTACAAAGCGTGGCAACTTTTCATACTCTGAACAAACTTGGATTGTTTCATCAACAGAACCATTTCCTGATAGTATTAATAAGCAGTCTAAGTCTACAGCTTTCATTGACATACACTCTGATAGATTACCTGGTACGATTTTTCAATCAACATTCTACTGAGCTGCCGTAGATCCACAGAAAATAAGTAAAACGTTCTGGAGGGAGCATAGTCAGATGCTCGAGGGATTTCCTGTTCGAAGAGAAAAGTTGTTTTATCAATGAAATTAAAAATTTGTTGCTTAAATGAATTAATTTTTAAAGCAGACTCAAAGCAGTGCGGGGGGGGGGGGGGGGGGGGGCTGAAATTTTGTTGCGATTACATGACGAATTTCAGCCCGGACTGAAATATTAGCCTCGACGCCAAATATGTAACTGCGCGCGAAGAGTCTCAGGAGAGGCGCCGAGAACATGAATCGTGAAAATAGGCGCATTGGTTCTCTCGCAGTTCAGCCTTNGGGCTCCCTCAAAAAAAAAATGGGAGTGCTCGTTGTACCTTCTGGAGGGTTTAAAAAAGTGGTTTTGGTATCTCTCACAGAGTTCAGCCTAAAAAAGGTCCACAGCGGGAAATTGATTGATTGATTGATTGACTGATTGATTGATCGATCGACTGACTGATTGATTGATTGATTGATTGATTGGGGATATTTACAATATTTGGCAATTGACTGACTGATTTTACTTTTGTCTCATTTACACCATGAATTCAACCAACCATCTTTATCCCTATGAAAAATTATGGTGCCTCTTACAGTTAAAAAAATTCAAGCCACACCCACAAAACAGGATCTTTGGTACCTCTTAGGGGTTCTTTTCAAACTTTCTGACTAGCATACCCATCCTGTTTGTATGGGAATTTTCCTCCCAGGGAGCAGTGTTCCAATTTTTGGCTGGTTGGTCAAAATGATAAAAAATTTATGTAAAAATAGCAGGAGAACCTTAGAACAAGGAGGCATGCTATCAGAGAATCACTGCTGGGCAACAACACATGGTTCCAAATCAACATGGAGCAACAATAAAGAAGGAAAAAGTTTGATGTAAAAGTAAATATTTTTTTTAGAAATGTATACAGAAAAGGTTGAAACTGACATTCAACCTTGAGAAATGATGTTAACAAAACTGCTTTTGCAAGACCAATGTCATTTTTAAGATTTAAGGTGAAAAAAATGTTTGACTACCTGATTATCTTCCTTATAACAAATTGTGAAAAAAACGCACATTTTGGTTCAAGGTTTGAGAATGCCTGACACAGGAAACAAATTGAAGATGGTCTAAAAAATGTGAGCTAAACCTAGCCAGTGTGTGTCTGTTATTACCTGTAGTGCAATAAACCTCTCAGCAAAAAGCTTGTACAACAACTCTTTGGCATCCTTAGATGGAATCATTGCGAGCTCACCAATCTACAAATCAGACACAGGTAAGAAAAAAAACATTTAGTAATCATTATGAAAATTTCAACCCCTGGTAGCCAGTTTCTACAGTCAGTAAGACAGTCTGTCAATCAATGTGTCAGATAGCCAATCAGTTAATCACTCACTGACAGTCAGTCATCCAGCAAAATTGATGGCACGTCCACAGCAGTAGTATTTGTTGTTTTGTTGTTTAGTAATCAAATTAAATAACTAGTCTCTTAAAAATGGTCCTGTAACCAGGTGGTTGATTCATGATTGAAAAACGTTACTCTGGTTTAAAAATGTGAAAATGTTAGTAAAAATTTTTGTAAAAGTCCCAACGTTTCGGCTAAAACTTCAGCCTTCATCAGAGGAAAGTGACAAGGAATTTGTAAAAAGGCACGTTCTTATACTATGCAAATCAGCAAATCGGAGCTAATTATGTCCTGTCCCTTAGGGCAAAGTAAACCGAAACGGCTTTCTCAACAAACGCCTGCAACTGCACTGGATGACAAAAAAGGTTTCTGCATTTTACCGTATGTCAAGGGCACTACGGAACTGATTAAAAGAATCCTAAGCAATTACAATATGAAAGTTGCTTTAAAACCACACCATAGTCTGCATGCGAGCCAAGTGGCCCATCAGGCCGGAGCTTATCCCAGTTTCAACCACACCATCGGCAATTTATTTCCCAAACCAAAAGACCCAATCCCGAAAGATCAGACTCGTGGTGCAATTTATTCAATTCCCTGTCCGGATTGTGACAAAAGCTACATCGGGGAAATGAAACGAAAATTTTCCACCCGCCTCAGAGAACATCAAAAAGCGGTTGTAAACAAACACTCGCACAAGTCAGCTTTAGCAGAACATTGTTTACACTCTGGCCACATCATCTCCTGGGAATCTTCAAAGATTTTATGTACAAGCACAAATTGGCACAACAGACGTATTTTAGAAGCATGGGAAATTAACACTTGTAGGAATCCACTGAACCGTGGTGATGGCATGCATTTACCGCACAAATTTTTAAATTTAGCCCTAAGGGACAGGACATAATTAGCTCCGATTTGCTGATTTGCATAGTATAAGAACATGCCTTTTTACAAATTCCTTGTCACTTTCCCCTGATGAAGGCTGAAGTTTTAGCTGAAACGTTGGGACTTTTACAAAAATTTTTACTAACATTTTTACATTTTTAAACCAGAGTAACATTTTTCAATCATGAACTAGTATTTTGTCTTTTGACAAACTTTTCCCATTAGCACACATTTATGTACAGTTTTATCATCCCTTGATATCCCACCTGTTTCTGCTCCATGTGTTTCTTGAGTAACAACAATCTGAAGATTCTAAAACATCTTGAGCCAAACCTGAATACAGTCAGCAAAAAGAAAAAAAAATTACAGAGACACATTAGTTATGTGGACTTGGCTGGGCTGTCAATAAGGGTCGTAACCCATAACATCTACGATGGCTGAGTATGTTTGATGGACCCTTGATGTTACAGGTGAACTGGACTATAGTTGATTACAATGCACCTAAAAGGCAACAAGTTTGTTGCGGGTGTGAACATCAAGGCCACAGTTACTCAAAACTTAATGACAGCCAGGTTATGTCTGTTACCAGTTGGCCTGTTTATACACGTTTCTAATATTAAAATCAAAATAATCAAAATACCTTTCTTGAACAATAGACTCTATAACATTTTGACAAAGCATATCCACACACTTTTGCATATATATAAAATTGTCAAAGAAAAAGCTCAAGCACACACAAAACAAATACTGCACAGGACTAGAAAAAACTTGAATTCCGGCTTGCCCTTGGGACAAGTAGCTCTAACATGCTGCTTATCCTGAGCAAGTCTTAGTTTGCTCATTTAATTAATGATTTAGTTGACAGATGACTTGCCTGAACCTTGCTCACTGGGCAAGTGAACATGAAAACTTACTTGCCCAGAAGGAGAATCTACTTGTCCTGCACGACCTATTTTTTGCATTTCTGAATAGAGTAACTCATCATGTTATAAGATTCTTGCATGAATGTCCTCAAAGGACCCTGGTTAACTTCCACCATTTTCAATGCCATTGAATTATTGCAGATATTGCATGGTGAAGCAAAATCTTACTGCTTTACTGTAAGTTGTGTTCCTGAAAGTATGTTTAATTATCTTTAGTAGTTTTAGTGATTTCCTTTGTTTTGACATGCTCCGAATAAAATATAATAGCCAAACTCTCACATGGAAAAAACAAAGCTGTGGCTGACTCGGGCACTTTAAGGTCAGTTCTGTGAGTAAAGGATACTTATGCAGTACATTCCACCTCCACTCTCTCCTGTTTTGGAAACCAAACTTTCCTGTCAAGGATGAAATTGAAAGAAGGATAAGATGTATATTTTGTAACTATTATTGATAATCAATAACAATGGCCGTTAACAGAATTGTGCAGGCATACTGACATAGTCTGATTAGCTGAGCTATCATTCACTATCACCCTCTAGTGCACAGAAGCTGGAGATCACCTACAACATGACAGTTTTCTTGTTTCTCCACGCTTTCGGAGGACAATCATTTTGAAATATCACTCACATATATATTAACTTCCTGTGACTAAAAGACCAAAAGAAATACATTTGCCTGGATAATATATACAACTTCAGGACCTCAAAAAGTGTTCAATGAAAATGTGATTTAGTCCACATGTGACTTTGCTGAAACATGAAGTTAAGGTGATTCCTCAGTATTACATTCTGCATACCTACTGTGCACGATTTTTGTGTTATTAGCATGCCCACATGAGTGGGTGCATGTACACAATGTAAGAAATTTCCCTCAAGCTAACCTGGGCAGCGAAATAAAAGCTCGTTTTTTCTTAAACATGCATGGTGACCTATATTTTTCATTGCATAATTTTGGTGTACAAATTATCCTCTTAAAAAATTAAGAAAAAAATTGTTCAGAAGGAAAAAAAGCTAAGAGAGCACAAAACCATAATGCAAGGATGGAAATTATGACCTCAAAAACAATTCGAGTCAATGTCGTTTAGAATTGCGTGACTTTTCCATAACTTATATATTGCATTGTTCCACGTGCCCGAAACTTTCTACATGTCAACATTTTTTTTCAAGTATTGCTTCCATAACCTTTGTTTCTGGCTACCGCAAAATGCAATGTGAACTGTTGAAATTACATGCGTGGTTAGGCATAAATGGCATAAGATTGGCCCGTCATATCTCTTTAGCAAGCATGGTGACCTATCAGTTTTCTTGTACTTTTCAAAACAGTACTTGATAGGGAACACTTAGGGAAAGTTTCAAAAAAATTGTTTTGCAACTTCTATTCTGACGAATCACCTTAAATACTACCGACACTAAAAAGGTAGAAAAATAATTGGAAATCATCTGAAAGAAATTTAATGGGAATATTTCTACTACAAATATTTGATTGTTTGTTTCTTAATTTCTGCAAGGGTATCATCAATTTAGTCTGAATTTCAGCCGTCTCTTCCCTTTACCTGGGCTGAAACTTGGACTATCATTAATTCAGCTTTCAGTCTCATCAACTATCATTGCAAAAATTTTTTAGCTCATAATCTGGTAATGAAAAAGAATGAACAGCAGCTCCTTCATGGTACCAAAAGTTTAAAGGTTCCATAGGAGATGTCCTGACAACAACTGTTACTGCACCTTCTCATCTGTTAGTAGTGAAAGATATTGCGTGATTTGTGCCTTCTCCATCTTGGGAGTTACTGACAGGTTTTGTGAGATCTGTGTATATAAAATTACATGGACAGGTCAGTTATACAGCAGGAGACACTTAGCTGGAAGGGTGGCACATAAGAGGGTGGAAGGAGATCTGCATACAAAGATCTTCCATTCATTCCTAGTTAGCGAGAATTTGAATTTGTTCTCTACGTCAGAATAATTTCAACCTACCAGTGGGTTAATTTGTTTCAACCAAGGTTGAAGTTTTCAAACCATTTTTATTATTTTTTTTTTTAACTTTTTTGGGGGTTCTTTAAAAATTAACATGCACACCACCCACCTCCGTCAGTTCCTAACCCTAGTACCCTACCCTGCCAGGATCCCATATCAAACTCCCCTAACCCTAACCCTGACCCTAGGGTCATGTCTTTATTTTGTACTCACCTAGATTTGAACACATGACCTCTGACTTTGTAGTTCACCTTTATCTCCCTAAGGCCAGGCAAGCAATTGTTGCAAATTATTTTACTCAAATTTGTTGGTCTAATAAGTTATTGGTCCCAAACTCCCCCTTTCCCTTTGATACAAATTAATCTAGGATGAAATCATTCTGACCTTAAGAACAAATTGACCTACAATAGTAATACTGTCTAAAGATCCTTTCATTCATTTAGCAAGGAATGGTCAAAATGTTGAAGACGCTCAGAAAATTTTTTTCCTTGTGTCACATAAATGTATCTCGATTAGAAGTTTGTTACCTCTTAGTTTAACCTCCTGTACAAGCACCACATAAGGAGTAAACAATGTTAAGTACCTCATAGAGTGAAACTGTCTGTGAAGTTGGTGACAAGGGATCCCTTACAAGCTCACTTAATTTCAACATTGTCTTTACAATCTCTCCAGCAAACTGAGTATCACAAATTAAAGAACAACAAAAATGTTACTATATGATACCAAAATGAAACAAAAAAAGCTGTACTACATGCCTTAAAAAAAAACCTTTTGCCTAATGTAGAGTATGATTTGAAGCCAGGCAGTTCTGGTTTCTTGGGAAGGAAGAAGAGTGGAAGAATTCAAGCCAGGGACCCAGCCTAGCCTTGAACACTCTGGAGAACATTATACTACTTAAAAATAAATGTTCAATAACTTGATGGCAAATATTCTGAATACAGTGTTTTACTTACCTTGTCAACTTTCTTGGTTACAGCTGAGACAATATCCTAGGAAAATATGTCTACATCTTTATATTTCAGACTTCATGTGCAATGTATATGGGTAATATTGACTAAGCATTGTTGTACTATGAAACCATGTGTATTCACACCATGATAGGTATTGAGTGCACCTTACTCCTACCTCATCATTTTGTTACACAAGTATGCACAGTTATGTAGATTTATACATTGGTTTCAGTAACTTGTTTCAATTTTTTTTCACTACGTTATAAAAGAAGAATGAGATTTGTAATTAGAAATAATTTCTATTTAAAAAGCTAAAAAAGGTTAAAAAGTAAAAAACACCAAATGTTTTCAATACCAGGTCATTATCAGGGTAAGAGATGATGGCCTAGTGTTGAAACTGTTCAGTGGTTTTTACTTTTGAACCTTTTTTAGCCTTCTAAATAGAAATTATTTTTAAAATCAAAGCGAATATTATGGACATCAGAATCGTAATTCCTTGGTAAGTGCAAAGTTTTGCATTTTCCTCTTTGCACTTTTGTCTGCAATCTTATGATTAGTGCGTTAGCTCTTACCTCATCAATGAAATGCTGATGAAACCTGGCAAAATTTACTTGCCATAAAATCCCTTCATCATTTATTTCCTGAATTAGGATGGATCAAAACAATCAAAGGTAAGTATTTCATGCTTTTTTATCTGTCACTAAACACCAACTTTGGCTGATCATAACTAGGTGTACTAATAAATTTAAGCAGAGAGACCTAAACCACCTCTGAACACTATTTACTAACATCAACTCAATAAGTCAATATACATGTACATCTAGTTATGTGTTTAATGGAGGCAGTAAGAAAAAATTTAACATTTGTTCAAAAAATGGCATGTTTCATTCAAGAATGTAATGTTATCAACCTTTCCTATGAATATTAAATTCATATAATACAGAAAATGCATTAATTTTATATTTATTTAGACGAAACAAGTTTGAATCTGATACTCACAGAGCTTCGATCACTGGCAGACTGGCTAAAAAAAGAAAACCGAAAAAAAAGAATCAGACAAATTTTCCCTTGAAGAGGGGGAAATGTACTGTTAGTTTACTGGACAAACTGTTCTGGATCAATACTTCTACAACAACAAAATTAAAACAAGCAAAGTGTTACAAATGATTTTCCACACATGGAAAGTTCTTTTCATATAGATCATGCAAGTAAGACTTGCACTAAAGCATATCTAAATTTGCAGACTTAATTGTACTAAGACAGAAAATCATCGACATTAAAGTGTTAGACCAGTATTGTTTTGGGAAGAACATTGTTGCGTGTTTGTGGATTTTTTTGTCAGGAAAAAGATGGGATAAGAAAGGTGTAATAAGCCAACTAGATGGCACTTTCCAAAAAGCACAAATAGCAGTGTCTGAAGTTCTTGGCTGACAACGCTTTAACACAGCATATTTTGTGCAGTTGTTGCTTGCACAAAGTGCAAGCTACAGGCTGTCATCCTCAAAACAGGTGAGAGACTGATCTAGTAGCAAGAACAGTTAAAGAAGAGAGTATCTGTAGCGAAATCGATGTGTAATAACGTACAACAAAGAAACAGCTTTAAGTGATTTATTGGCCCAGTGTTGCACACAATGCAGGCTCCCAAAATACAGACGGTCCTTGTGCTTAAATTGTTACGAAATCAAATAATCATACAAAGCATCTGATTGGCTGAAATCAAACTGGTGATCAAAATAACACGGGCTAGGGCACGTGCAGTATAGCGTAACGCAATATCTCTACAGTATCACACTTCAGTGGCCAAATAAGTTGTAATTCTTTTTCATGCTTTCTTGTCAAATTCTCGACAAAACAATCCACAAACATGTAATGATGGTCTTCGCAAAACAACACTTCAAATGTGACTCCTTTTTTCTCAGAAATCATGTGATTTTGCATACTTTTGTGATTCAGTTACCAAAGTTGGATATGCTGTAATGCAAGTCTTCCTCAAGTGATCTCTGTGAAAATAACTTTCCATGTATGAAATTTAATAAAGTTCAAGACAATCACAAAATTATTTGCCTCACTTTGCTTGTTTTAATTTTTTTGCTTTAGAACATAGATCCAGAACAGTTTTGTCCACCATACCATTTATGTGAACATTTCTTTTCTTTCCTTCAATTTCAAGGTTACATAATTTTTTAAACTGTGTCACTTAAGGCTGTAATAGCTGAAATTATCCAGCTAAACATTTAAATAAATTATTCTGCAGGCATGAGCAGGCCTCAGACTCACTCCTATGGCAAAATTGTTGCCAAGTGCTTAGTCTTTGCCAAATTTCCTAACATCTCCTAATATTTGTTAATTGTGTAGTTCCAGAAAATATCCATACCTCCCCACAGAAGGATTTTCTTCCAAGACCCCCACCCCTCTGGAAATTCCAATTAAGCTTGATACATTTCTTTAAATGTTTTGGTCTTAAAGAACACCCCACCCCCCAGGAAATTCCAATCCCCTCTGTGGGGGAGTATGGATATTTTCTGGACCTGCACATTGGACACTTCATCTTGACCTGACTTACAGAGGGTTGGACTGTGTTTTTATTTGACCGGCTGTGAACAAAGGACAGAATGAATGGTGCAATAACAAAGGAGGATTAGTATCTTATTAAATCAGAGTTTTATTATGGCAAAGATGTCTCTTAGGAGCCAGTATACAGTTTCCTCTTGGATGCAGCTAGTACCGATGAAATTAATGCCAATTTTTGTAAAACTCAGTAATGTTACCAAGCCTTTGTACCCACCTTGCTCCTGTTTTCTGTCTTTTTGTTGTTTGACCCTGATCATCAACACTTCTTTTCCGTTTTGCACCATGACCTAAAGACATATTTATGAACCATTAAACTGTAGTTTTCAAGCAACTTTGAGGTGATTGTTGTTTTTGGTAAAAAATTACTTGTTTAGCTTTGTTCTGTTTTTGCAAAATCTAAATCTGGTACAAAATATACTGGGTGTATGAAATCTGATGTCAGATTAGTTCCAGAGACCTCCCACAATCTCTGCAAGAAAAGTCAAAGGATATAGAAAATAATCTTCCAAAAATTACTCCCATTTCCATGAAAATAGCCAAGCTGCTGTTTACTACTTCTCCTGCATAGGACACTAGTCCATCATGTGTGTTAATGAGAAAAGCAGCACAGATTACCTTTCCCAATAAAAAGTACATTATTATAAAAAGTAAACAATAGTGAAATTTCCATAAAACGTTTACTAGGCTTCCCCAACAGTATATCAGGTAAGGTAAAGTCTACATCAGGTCAGTGGCCCACGCAGCTGGAGCTTATCTATGGTTTCTGTAGCATAAAGTGACTAGGAGTAGTTCTATGCCTCCCATATGACATACTAGTCCATCACGGGGCTACCCCCAGCATTAAATTTGCCATTACCCATTTATAGACCTGGGTGGAGAGAAGTAGTGCAAGAGAAAAATGAAACACCCAAGGACACAATGCCATGACTCTGGCCAGGGCTTGAGCCTGGACTGCTCAATCTAGAGTCCAGTACACCAACTATTAGGCCAACACACCTCCACCCCAGGGTCCATTGTATCTTCCTTGTCATAAAGGGGTACTATACATGTGAATAAAGAATTCAGCTAAGAATGTAATTTTGCATGAAAATAATGGCTATAATCCCATGCCAGTAACAAACCAACCCTTGATCTGCATTAAAATGCATTAAAAAAGAAACGAAATAGAATTCTTAGCAAAACCTTGCAAAGTCATTCCAGGAGGCAGAGCATAGAGATCATCTTCATTATAACTGTTCATGTCCACATTGTCTTCATTATGATGAACTGGTTTCACTCTTTGGAGGAAACGATTCTTTACAAGATCAGCAAAAGTCGCTTTAACTTCATAATCATCCGCATCAGGATCATCCTCGACTAAATGGGTCACAATTTTGCTGACCACGGTGCTCATGGCCAGTGCGCCATGTTGTAAAATCTCATCCGTTATCAACTCGCCTGTGTATCCAAACAAACTCTTCGCACAATAAATATACCGCGGTGAACGAGGACGAAGAAGTATATTGGCAATCCAGGCATTGTACAACGTCACGTTCTTCTTGTTCACTTCAAATGTAACGAAATGATGTTGAATGAGGCAACACAATGCCTTCTGCACATGATCTCGAGGAAGCTTGGTATCACGAATTATGTCCCGCAAAGGACGCGGTCCTTTTCCAATACAATACGAGCCGACCTTTTCTACAACTTCTCCGTAGTGTTCTTTTAAAATGAGAGACGCGACTCGCTTCTGTTGAACAGACATTACGGATTGAAAAGCAAGTTGAATTAGAAAACTTTTCCCGCTTTACGAGTAGCCATGGTGGCCGCCATATTGGATGAAAAAATAGTCCCGCAATAAAATTAACCAGCGTCAACTTTCATCGAACAAGGGCTGTGATTGGTTAAGAAATACAGAAGCAAGCCAATCAAAATGCTTTTATTAAGAGGTGACCGGAAAAGCTACTTGAGAACCTAAGAGTAAACAACTTGTTTTGAGTAGAGAACGCAATACCGTGGGGACAGTTTAGCGAAGATTGTTTTCAAATTAACCACCTTTCCCGACCTATACAAATGTTTGAAGAGAAAGGTAATCTATTTATTGTTTTGCTTTCAAGGCTAGTCCTACTAAGCTACAAGCCACCGGCGCCAATCCGACCGGACAGAGGTTCACGTATGGTTGATACATCTGTCACTGATCGCTTGTGTGTCGCTCTTGTTTGGTGCATTCTTTGCTGCCTTTACTGTGGTTTGCGGTAACAATCGGCTCGAAAATGAAAGGGTTCATAAAGAACTTGGTGACGGTTCTTTACGTACTTGCTAACGAAGATTCTTTTTTGACAATAGACACTAGACACTAGTCTCATGCCGCTCAAAGTTTAATCAATACTGAGCTGTTGTCGTCCAAATTGATCAAATCGAAACCTTAACAAACAGGAAGTTTACTTTAACCGGTACAGTATTTATTGTCGCTTTCGCTAAATGCTTGAAGTGAAAAGTGAAAAATAAAACTTGTGCTGGACAGTAGCTGACAGTAGTTGTAGAGGAGGGGGGGGGGGGTGTCCCTGTGACCTTACATTCCTTTACCCTATACCAGACATGTGCAGGTGTAGAGATAAAATTTTGCCAATTAATATTTTTGACAAATGCGTTTGTGTCACCTAATCAGTCAGCAACAAAGTTGCAAAAAATTTTTAGTTAACTCAACTCAAACTACATCCTTTTCAGACTCTCAGGTCAGACCTTGAATATTATCAAAACTGGGACAGTTCATGATATTCCAGATATAAGCTGGTTGTCATGGCCACAGCTACCATAAGATGCCCAGGGTGTGGCCAGGAAATCATGCGAGGTGCCGCAGTGGAGTGCAATTTTAAACCAAGTGTCCAAGCTACTACATTCCAGCAGAGTTTTGAACGAGCTCAAGAGAGACACTGGCTATGTATGGAATGTAAATACATTGTGGAGAATCGCTATGGTGATATGTCTTCAGTCACATCTGAGGATGCTTATACTTTGTTGTACAGTGTCAGAATAAAGAAGGGATCCAACTGCTGTAATTCATGTACAATCATATAGCTAAACTGTTGCCAATTAGCTCCTAACCTTATTGACAAGCTAGAAACAGTAGTCAGTCGTAAGCTCAGAATATTTTATTCTCCTGAGTCAAGACCATACTTTGATTTACGAATGGTGTCGGGTATTTGTTGTTACATCAAGACAAGCTTGTCAGTGATGATTTTCTTTCTTCTCATAACCTGCCTGCTTGATTATGTATTAAGAATGTGGGGAGAAATTGGCTTTTGGTTGCTCTGAGTGTCTTATCATGCTATCATGCTTCATGAAATGAAGCCCAACTAGCTTGATCAATTTAGTCAGAAATGTCAGAAAGAGAACACTTTGTTAAAAGTGGATGTCTATATTTGAACTCTACATATCACTCAATCCCAGGAGTGAAGATCTGGGCATTAAAGTGCTTTAATTTAAGATAATGTTGTGCTGCATAAGCAGGCAAGTAAAATAATTTATCGATAGTTTTAAACAGCAATCAAGTTACCTAGCCTTGTTTAGGAACTCTGTTTATTAAACTATGTATATAAACACCTTTCTACTATTAATACGGATGCCATAGGCACCAAAGATCATGTTGTTCAATAAATATATAGTATTATCATAGTTGAGGTATTGTATGTTTTAAGAAAACATCCAGCAATTCAATCATAGAAAAGATGAGGTTTAATAGCAAATGCTTATTTTGACATAATTTATAGCATCTGGACTTTTAATCACAAAGAAAACAAAACGAATTGATGTGTTTTATTCCTCTAAGCCCAATCCTTGGTAAGAATTTAAATATATCATATTTGGTGAATTTGTAAATAGTTTGCTTCACTGATCAGTTTCTGCATAGCAACAAGTCCTTTCAACAAATTTATTCTGGAATTTATAAGAAGTCATTATTGCAAAGTACTTCAAGACCTGTATTCAGTTTTACTTTGTCATACTTTTGTGATTACCATTTTGTATAATGAAGGTATATATATATATATATATAGGAACATTATTTAAGTTGAACTTGTTTTAAAATAAAGTGTGGAAGGAAAGGTTAGCAGATAACTCTTAAATGATGTGCCTGGGCAAAACCTAGTTTTGCAGAAATTCATAAAGGGAATGAAAAACCTGGTATTCTGACACTAAGATCTTTTACGCAGGCTGGCAATAGTTTCCAGCACTTTTCTAGTAGCTATACTTTGAAGGATGAATACTACCACTGTTTAACAAGTGATGCTATAAAAATAGCATCATACAATGCCCAATCATTGGTAAACAAGTTGCGGTCATCTTTTGGACATAACAGGTTACCATAGTAACAATATGATCAGCTAAGAGAACCCTTAAGTTTAGCTTTAAGCGTTTATATCTCAAAAACAAGCTTCATGACCCCCATTTTTTGTTATCGAATTGCGATAAACATGATAACATGCTACCTTTTTGCAAAGTTTAAAAAAATTCTGAGTGAGTTCAGAGCCGCCTTAAATTTTCAGAAATTTAAGGTGGCTTTGAACCCACTCCTCAGAATTTTTTAAACTTTGCAAAGAGTTGCATCTTATCATGCTTAGCACAATTCAGTAATAATTAGAGTCACCGAGCTTATTTTGAGTTATAAGCTCTTAAAGCTAAAGTTAAGGGTGTTTTTAGCATGTCATTGTTGCTATGGTAACTTCTTGTGCTACAAAATTGACAGCAACATGTTTATATAGATACAAGTGTTTTACTGGAAAATATACCACTCATAAAATTGAAACAAACTACATCCTGGACAAGAATGGTGTACTTTTGCATGTACTCACTAGTGAGGATGTTGATGATGTCATTTCCTGCTTTTTCACGATTGCTTGTCTAAACAGTCTGTTTGTCTATATAATAATTTTTATTTATGAATTTCATTTTCTTGTCTTGAAAACAATATTTTGTGAACAAGCAAAGTGAGTGAGTAAAATATTGTTTTAACCACTCTTAGAATTCATATCTCTGTGCCCAGTCACAACATTTCCAGCTGAAAGTAAGATCACCATACTGGTCACTTGAAAAGCTTTACTATTCAGTCAGGTTCAAGTTACAACAAGCATGCCCACTGACAACTAGGGTGTCAAATTTTAATAAATAGTATTTGCATTTCAAATATTATAATTATTTTAAATGCTTATTACTGACAATGGAAAAATACAACCATGCTATTTACAATCATTGGTTCATTTATACAGGCATATGAAACACATGAGATGTAAATCTGTCTCCCGGTGCAACACATGATGATTGACAAACAATGTATGTTTAACTCTTCTGACTAAAGATCCTGACACACCCTGCAAGATTATGTGTCAAGACTAGATTGCATCATAATTATTTTTAACCTCCATACATTGTTGCACACAAGGTTTCAGAAGGTTCTCATTAGGTCTACTGGTTCTTCCACAACATGGCATGTAACAATGTTTCAAAGTCTGACCTATTCAACATCCAATCAAATCATTAACAATACCACTGAGACTGCTTTTCTTCTTTGCATTTTCTCCTGGAGCTAAAGCAGTAAAAGCCATAGCACTCTTATTGCATGATTGGTCAGGTAATTATAATTGTAACGGTGCTCCGGTGGCCCAAAGGGCCACCAAGCGGAGCCCCATACTCATACAGGAAAGAAAACAAAACCCATGAGTTGATTTTCTCATGGTTATCATGGCTAACAGTATTGCTTGTAGGTACGTATGCACAACGGAGGCAGCGGAGTCACGCAAGATGGCGGTCATACTCCAGCTGATAGGTTGACAGAAACATACAGTACAGCCTTGGTTTAGTGTCCCTCTTTGATCTAGGACATCCATTAACACCTGACACCTGACACCTGTCAAAACAAGGTATCTAGTAGTAGTACCACATGACCATATTGTACCCTCAAGTTTAGAGCTCACTGAGGTCATGTGTTTTTTGGAAGGTGACCGCTGACCAAGTGCTGGTTTTCGATTGGATCACAGACTTATATCAGGTTAACTTGCTGTTATCAGGGCTGGGTTGTTCGGAAGCCATTTAATGCTAACCCAGGGTTAAAAGTTATCCAAAGTATAGATTTTTCTTGAGATTATTTAAACCAAAACAGAATGCCAAAACAATATAAACAGAAAATCTCACCGCAAAGTTAAAGAACTCAAATCAAAATTCTTGCTTATCCTGGGTTAGCTTAATCGAGCTTTGAACAAGCTCCGTGTTTAGGCTTGGCTAAATCTATATATTAAACATCAGAAGTAATTTTCCACACCAGCCATGGTGTGCAAAATGTGGCTGCATGTGGCCTGTCTTGCCTTGGTCCCTTCTTGTTTCTTTCCCAATTTGAATAATTTTAATTTTTCCATTTAGACAGAGAATTTTTAAGGAACCTAAACTGACTGCTCCTAGTCTAACTCAAGAAACGATTTGCATGTAATGTTGCAGTGTGTGCACGGGCATTAAGAATGTGTGGGTGAAGCAAGTCATCTGAGATTACTCATCCAGGCTTAAATAATAATAATTATAAAATTGTTAGCAAAAAATTATTAAAATTTAGCAGATCCACTGCTAAATGCACTCAAGAGTGCACTTGAGCCAATTTCATTCTGCTTAAAATAATACTAAAATGAATCTGTTAAAATTTAGCAGATCTACTGCTAGCTGGACTTGGTGGCGCACTTTGTGAGCCTGTGACATTCTCACTTTGCTGTGTCTTTGGTCTTAGAAATGACCGTAGAGAATATCGGCTCTTCGCCCTGGCATTGGCAGTATTGTTTGTCCAAGCCACACCTGCTAAAGGTCTCATAATATGAACTGCTCCTAAACTCGGAGACAATGAACCAGTCACTAATGCACTGACATTTTCACTGGATTTTCTCTTGTCCAGATCTGACAAACTGTCCAAACAATGAACATCACTTGCAGAAGCCTCGACCCTGTTATCTGCAATATCCACCAGGGGAGCCTTGTTACCGGTGTCATCAGTTTGTGGTATTTCTAAACGTATCTCTGAGCTTCTCGGGGGTGATGCTATGACTACTTCTTCAACGTCATCTCCATCTGCTGATGACCTTCTTGTTGACGTAATGGTTCCAGGAACGTTAAGAGATGATCGTGAACCTCGTCTGACATCCTTCAAACTCTCTGCATCTAAAGGTTCTAACAGCGGTCCACTTGAACGCCTCCTGACTTCTTCACTAAAACATTCTGTGACTGTCTGAAGTGGCCCAGCCTCATTTTGAGTATTGGTTACATCATTGTTTGTTGCAACATGAATAGATGCTTTTGAGGAAAGATCACATGACTCTCTGTGTAGTGATCTCGTGGTGGGATCACGTTGCAGAAAATTGTGTATTAACCAGTTTACCCTGTAATGCAAAAAACAAAAGAAACAAAATAAATGAAACATGATTTGCTGTCAGACAGAATGTCAGAGGGCTTTTGCCTTGAAGTTCTTCACGTTTTTTTTGGGCGGGAGGGGGGTGATGCTTATTAGAGATGGTGATTTTATAGACTGAGCTTAAACACGGAGTGATCCTATAAAAGGCAAGGACATGCCATCTTTGAAGCACTTTGTTGGCTTTTTTGTGCAATGGTAAACAGCTGAAATAACGGTCGCATAACATAGAGGTCGTGGAGAAATAGCGTTTTTTTCGTTAACACAATGGAGTCATTGACGTAGAATAACAGAAGGTAAATAATAAAATTACAGTGAAAATAAAACCTATATTAACACTTTAGAAGATGCCTTTGGAAGAACATTCAAATTTTGCCGCTAACTAAAATAACAAAGATGACGCCTGTGTTCAACAAGCTATTTGTTTCCATTTATCTCAACATGCCGAGAACGAAAACAAATCCCATAGGAGGTGATTTTGGTTAGCCTTTGAACAGACTGATTTTGGTGGGACATTTAAAATTATTCAGATTTATGAGCGTTACGATGGTGCAAACTGAACAAAATGCAAATTGAACAACGCTGAGTTATTCTTCAAACTGTTCTATATTCAGAACAAAGAAATCGGAAACAAAAAGTACTATGAAGAAACAAGAGAACTTGAAAATGGCAAAGTGAGATTTCACCTGAATATTGATGTTAGAAAGGAGAAGGAAGACTCATGGCTAAATAAAACAAAAACAAAAATTGCATTCATAAAAGGCTGACTGAATTCTACTGAACAGCAAGAGTACAACAGCAGCCAATGTTCACCTTTATATGGAATCTCTTTTAGATAACTGGCTGACGAATAACCATATTACTGCAGATATAATATATTACCTTCGCAGTCTGCTTGTAACTGGGTTTTTGACGAGTTTTAGTTCCCAAACTTATTTCTCAATCGAAAGAGCAAAGACACTCTGGCATCAAATGAACTAGACACAGCATTTTATAAATTTGAGTGAAAAGCTCAAATTCATGTGATAGACTTTTGCAAGTGGAGGAACAAAATTATGAAGTTGAACTTAAAAAAGTCAATTTTCTTTGTAAACTCTTCTCTTGAAGCTGTCGTTCATTTAATTCAAAAGGCATTGCTTACTTGTAAAATAAACCAGAAAATTACACCCGTCGCTCTCCAGAATTTTAAGGCAACGGGCTAAAACTAGACTTGAGTGAATAAACCGATCAAATGGGAGCATTGGTTGTCTGGTGGGATTTGTGATTGGCAGGCTGAACACCTCAGCCTCATTCTATAGGATGGCTCTGCGTTCAAGGTATCATGGTAGGTGGATTGACAGTGTTTGGAAATCGTGCTCTCTCACTGGCACTTTGAAAGAAAACCCCATCAACCTATACATTTTCTGAAAGCTTAATAGTTATAGAATACAATCATACCTTTGAAATTTTCTAAAAAGTTATTGTCGCAGTGATATTAAAAGAGAATCCAGAAACACTGCTTCGCTTAAACTGGTTTGCTTCCATGCCTGAATTATTTGAGTGGCGCGATTAACATCAGAAATGTTTTCTCACACATCACCCTCAAAAAAGGTGTCGGCGATTTTCCAGATGTGGTTTGGTTTTTTTCTACACGCTCCTAAACTTTGATATTTTCAATGCGGACGTTTCTTTCTACTAAAGAGGCCATAACTTTGAAATGAAAGCGAAATTAAACAAAGCCTGACACCCTTTTTCAAAGGGGGTATCTTGGAACATACCTGCCGATTTTCAGCCAATTCTGTCAGAAGATGCTCGTAAACGAACTTAAAATGTTCATCCTTATATGCAGTTTTATTTGATCAAGAAAAAGACAAAAATCATTCTATGAGATTGGTATGATTAGGTGTCAAAAATCCCCTCCGCACTGACAGATGTCGGTATGGGTCAGTATAGGGTCAGTATAGCACAGCAATGGGTTGTGGCAACTTGAAATAAACAGACATCTACAATTCTAGCGCGGAAACCCATCCAGCATCGTCTGAGAACCGACAAACTCAGTACCAAGTTAAACTGCCATGATTTCTTTTACTTAAAAGATGTCGTCGGCGTGATTGGTATTGTTGCTTAAGTTCAGGCTTCTTCGTTTTCCAGACATTTTTTGAAACCATGCCCCATGAAGCCAAAAAGAGGAAATCTTGAGGTCTACTTCGTCTACATCTATATTTGCGCTTGACTCTCTAGTTGTGGAAGTTTTGGAATCACGTCCGTTCTCCAGCAATTACATGCGACTAGCACTTGTTGTAGTTTGTCCTTCAGCTTCATTGGCGGGACTAGTGTCCTCGAGTACCTTCAACCATTTTTCTTGGCTACAGTGCGACCCACGGTCGCTCAGAGCCAAAGATCTTGTTCAACGCTGAACCTGTGGGTTCCATCAGATTTTTGCCTCTTCAGCTTTTTCAAAGACGAAAATGGGCAAGAAGTTTTCCTGCATTTTCGTCCAGACATGAAGAAAATTTGGCAAGAACGAAAGCTAACTTGCGATGAAACAACCAGATCGAGAACAGTTTGCATGCACAAATAAAATATCACACCATAATCTGCATAATCCATGTGACAACTGGTGGTGACTTTTAATTAGAGGTGTCAACGTACCATAAGAGGTTAATGAGATGCAAAAATAGTTTCTTTTATTTATCTTAAAAAGTAAAGATGCCTTTTTCCCCATTCTTTTTGCAAAATATTTATCTCAGTCTTCCCAATTTGAACAGCCAAAAAAAGATTTTTCGCATTTTTTGTAAAAATCCACCTACCATGATACCTTAACTGGTACACCTTCACTATAAGCATGCTGTAGATCACAATCAGAATGATCCCTTAGCAAGTAAGAAAGATAACTTCCTTCTTTGCTGTTATCTTGTAGCAAGTACTAACTATTTGGGTCTAACAAGATCTTAACAACTGTGACGTTAACATTGTTATTTAAGCTTAAACATGGCCATAAGACAGTATTCCACTGTACTTTAGAGTTTGCCTCAGTACACTTGGCAGGTATGTTTTTCATTTTGCAAGAGTTGTTTCTTACTTCACAGGAGATTCTACCATGACCATATGGCCTGCATCTTGAATAACCTCCAGTGATGAACTGTATATCACCTACAAAATAAAACCAAGATGAGTACCATAAAAAAAATTATGACAGATGAAATAATAGGATATTATTCACATGACTATCGAACATCCCTCTTTGACTGAGCTGGCATTTCTGACTTCAATCAATGTCCAGCATTCCTATGAGTTATCTTAACACATGTACATGTATAAGTCTACAAAACAATTAAAGATGATAATTACATTTACAGAAACCAACAGCTGTGAGGTTAGGGGAGATGAAAATAATTTCACAGCAGAAATTGAAAATCAGTACCATAGTACATAATGTTAACTGCACTGAAAGCAACAGAGAAGATCAGTAAAGATAGAACAAAGATCTAAATAATGAAGTCCTTTTTTATTATTTTTGTCACTGACCTCCTGCATCCACTGTTCTTCTTCGAGAGTTACAAATTTATCCTGAGCTCCATAAATTAACAATGCAGGAACCATCAGCTCCTGATGGTAACTTTCATCTCCTTCTTCCCACACCTGGAAAAGACACAATTAAAAGTACTGTGCATGATTCTGCTTATTACCTACAAACTATTAAGAAAAGAATGTTTTATCAATGTAGTGGGCATGAAGATGACAGATGACAGTTATGCACATTTCTTGCCATTTTCTAGAATATTTGATTAACACCCTGGCAGTACGATTGCCTGCCATTGAGCACACCTGAGGCAAGAGTCTTCAAACCTGGAGATGAAAAAAATATGATCTCATGCCTACTCATGCCTATGGACCAATCTCTCCGACCTACTTGTAATGAAGAAATTGTAATACCCAAAAGATGAGATTCACCAACCTGGCCAGCCATCACAGCTTTCAATACAAATGGGGGAGCACTAAATGCTTTGAACTTTTTCTTCATTGATCTTGCCCTCTGACTGTTGTATGCTCTCCTGTAAAATAATCAAACAGCCCAAACATAACATAATAAGTAGAATTATTATCCAACTGTAGCGAATACCATCCAAATAACAGTACAAATATACAACGATATTGTACAGTTATTTGTACAGTAGAAAACCTGTTTGCCAGACAAGTCAGCGCACGCATGTAAAACTGTCCCACTCTCCCTCTTTCACTGATAAATTTATTGACTACAACAGTTGGATAATAAATCTCTTATTATATGTTCTAGTGTGTAGTATCGCTGAGTATCTTTACAAGTTGTTTGTATTTTGACTCGCCCTATGGGCTCATCAAAATACCACACAACTCATAAAAATACTCAGCGATATTCCACACCAAAACATCTAATAAGATATATGAACTGAATCATTAAGACTTCAATAACTCCATTAACAAAATAATTCTTAAAAACTGCCCACTGACAGATAAACTGCTTCAATAATATTTTTCCCTGAACTCTTCAACATATTTGTTAAACTGCCAATAAATTGGCATTAAAAGTATCACGGATCATGTTTTTCCCCAAAATAAGTTCTTTCATAGAACCAGAGAAAAAGATAAACATTCTGAAGTCAGTGGGTAAACANTTAGCAAAAAATTATTAAAATTTAGCAGATCCACTGCTAAATGCACTCAAGAGTGCACTTGAGCCAATTTCATTCTGCTTAAAATAATACTAAAATGAATCTGTTAAAATTTAGCAGATCTACTGCTAGCTGGACTTGGTGGCGCACTTTGTGAGCCTGTGACATTCTCACTTTGCTGTGTCTTTGGTCTTAGAAATGACCGTAGAGAATATCGGCTCTTCGCCCTGGCATTGGCAGTATTGTTTGTCCAAGCCACACCTGCTAAAGGTCTCATAATATGAACTGCTCCTAAACTCGGAGACAATGAACCAGTCACTAATGCACTGACATTTTCACTGGATTTTCTCTTGTCCAGATCTGACAAACTGTCCAAACAATGAACATCACTTGCAGAAGCCTCGACCCTGTTATCTGCAATATCCACCAGGGGAGCCTTGTTACCGGTGTCATCAGTTTGTGGTATTTCTAAACGTATCTCTGAGCTTCTCGGGGGTGATGCTATGACTACTTCTTCAACGTCATCTCCATCTGCTGATGACCTTCTTGTTGACGTAATGGTTCCAGGAACGTTAAGAGATGATCGTGAACCTCGTCTGACATCCTTCAAACTCTCTGCATCTAAAGGTTCTAACAGCGGTCCACTTGAACGCCTCCTGACTTCTTCACTAAAACATTCTGTGACTGTCTGAAGTGGCCCAGCCTCATTTTGAGTATTGGTTACATCATTGTTTGTTGCAACATGAATAGATGCTTTTGAGGAAAGATCACATGACTCTCTGTGTAGTGATCTCGTGGTGGGATCACGTTGCAGAAAATTGTGTATTAACCAGTTTACCCTGTAATGCAAAAAACAAAAGAAACAAAATAAATGAAACATGATTTGCTGTCAGACAGAATGTCAGAGGGCTTTTGCCTTGAAGTTCTTCACGTTTTTTTTGGGCGGGAGGGGGGTGATGCTTATTAGAGATGGTGATTTTATAGACTGAGCTTAAACACGGAGTGATCCTATAAAAGGCAAGGACATGCCATCTTTGAAGCACTTTGTTGGCTTTTTTGTGCAATGGTAAACAGCTGAAATAACGGTCGCATAACATAGAGGTCGTGGAGAAATAGCGTTTTTTTCGTTAACACAATGGAGTCATTGACGTAGAATAACAGAAGGTAAATAATAAAATTACAGTGAAAATAAAACCTATATTAACACTTTAGAAGATGCCTTTGGAAGAACATTCAAATTTTGCCGCTAACTAAAATAACAAAGATGACGCCTGTGTTCAACAAGCTATTTGTTTCCATTTATCTCAACATGCCGAGAACGAAAACAAATCCCATAGGAGGTGATTTTGGTTAGCCTTTGAACAGACTGATTTTGGTGGGACATTTAAAATTATTCAGATTTATGAGCGTTACGATGGTGCAAACTGAACAAAATGCAAATTGAACAACGCTGAGTTATTCTTCAAACTGTTCTATATTCAGAACAAAGAAATCGGAAACAAAAAGTACTATGAAGAAACAAGAGAACTTGAAAATGGCAAAGTGAGATTTCACCTGAATATTGATGTTAGAAAGGAGAAGGAAGACTCATGGCTAAATAAAACAAAAACAAAAATTGCATTCATAAAAGGCTGACTGAATTCTACTGAACAGCAAGAGTACAACAGCAGCCAATGTTCACCTTTATATGGAATCTCTTTTAGATAACTGGCTGACGAATAACCATATTACTGCAGATATAATATATTACCTTCGCAGTCTGCTTGTAACTGGGTTTTTGACGAGTTTTAGTTCCCAAACTTATTTCTCAATCGAAAGAGCAAAGACACTCTGGCATCAAATGAACTAGACACAGCATTTTATAAATTTGAGTGAAAAGCTCAAATTCATGTGATAGACTTTTGCAAGTGGAGGAACAAAATTATGAAGTTGAACTTAAAAAAGTCAATTTTCTTTGTAAACTCTTCTCTTGAAGCTGTCGTTCATTTAATTCAAAAGGCATTGCTTACTTGTAAAATAAACCAGAAAATTACACCCGTCGCTCTCCAGAATTTTAAGGCAACGGGCTAAAACTAGACTTGAGTGAATAAACCGATCAAATGGGAGCATTGGTTGTCTGGTGGGATTTGTGATTGGCAGGCTGAACACCTCAGCCTCATTCTATAGGATGGCTCTGCGTTCAAGGTATCATGGTAGGTGGATTGACAGTGTTTGGAAATCGTGCTCTCTCACTGGCACTTTGAAAGAAAACCCCATCAACCTATACATTTTCTGAAAGCTTAATAGTTATAGAATACAATCATACCTTTGAAATTTTCTAAAAAGTTATTGTCGCAGTGATATTAAAAGAGAATCCAGAAACACTGCTTCGCTTAAACTGGTTTGCTTCCATGCCTGAATTATTTGAGTGGCGCGATTAACATCAGAAATGTTTTCTCACACATCACCCTCAAAAAAGGTGTCGGCGATTTTCCAGATGTGGTTTGGTTTTTTTCTACACGCTCCTAAACTTTGATATTTTCAATGCGGACGTTTCTTTCTACTAAAGAGGCCATAACTTTGAAATGAAAGCGAAATTAAACAAAGCCTGACACCCTTTTTCAAAGGGGGTATCTTGGAACATACCTGCCGATTTTCAGCCAATTCTGTCAGAAGATGCTCGTAAACGAACTTAAAATGTTCATCCTTATATGCAGTTTTATTTGATCAAGAAAAAGACAAAAATCATTCTATGAGATTGGTATGATTAGGTGTCAAAAATCCCCTCCGCACTGACAGATGTCGGTATGGGTCAGTATAGGGTCAGTATAGCACAGCAATGGGTTGTGGCAACTTGAAATAAACAGACATCTACAATTCTAGCGCGGAAACCCATCCAGCATCGTCTGAGAACCGACAAACTCAGTACCAAGTTAAACTGCCATGATTTCTTTTACTTAAAAGATGTCGTCGGCGTGATTGGTATTGTTGCTTAAGTTCAGGCTTCTTCGTTTTCCAGACATTTTTTGAAACCATGCCCCATGAAGCCAAAAAGAGGAAATCTTGAGGTCTACTTCGTCTACATCTATATTTGCGCTTGACTCTCTAGTTGTGGAAGTTTTGGAATCACGTCCGTTCTCCAGCAATTACATGCGACTAGCACTTGTTGTAGTTTGTCCTTCAGCTTCATTGGCGGGACTAGTGTCCTCGAGTACCTTCAACCATTTTTCTTGGCTACAGTGCGACCCACGGTCGCTCAGAGCCAAAGATCTTGTTCAACGCTGAACCTGTGGGTTCCATCAGATTTTTGCCTCTTCAGCTTTTTCAAAGACGAAAATGGGCAAGAAGTTTTCCTGCATTTTCGTCCAGACATGAAGAAAATTTGGCAAGAACGAAAGCTAACTTGCGATGAAACAACCAGATCGAGAACAGTGTGCATGCACAAATAAAATATCACACCATAATCTGCATAATCCATGTGACAACTGGTGGTGACTTTTAATTAGAGGTGTCAACGTACCATAAGAGGTTAATGAGATGCAAAAATAGTTTCTTTTATTTATCTTAAAAAGTAAAGATGCCTTTTTCCCCATTCTTTTTGCAAAATATTTATCTCAGTCTTCCCAATTTGAACAGCCAAAAAAAGATTTTTCGCATTTTTTGTAAAAATCCACCTACCATGATACCTTAACTGGTACACCTTCACTATAAGCATGCTGTAGATCACAATCAGAATGATCCCTTAGCAAGTAAGAAAGATAACTTCCTTCTTTGCTGTTATCTTGTAGCAAGTACTAACTATTTGGGTCTAACAAGATCTTAACAACTGTGACGTTAACATTGTTATTTAAGCTTAAACATGGCCATAAGACAGTATTCCACTGTACTTTAGAGTTTGCCTCAGTACACTTGGCAGGTATGTTTTTCATTTTGCAAGAGTTGTTTCTTACTTCACAGGAGATTCTACCATGACCATATGGCCTGCATCTTGAATAACCTCCAGTGATGAACTGTATATCACCTACAAAATAAAACCAAGATGAGTACCATAAAAAAAATTATGACAGATGAAATAATAGGATATTATTCACATGACTATCGAACATCCCTCTTTGACTGAGCTGGCATTTCTGACTTCAATCAATGTCCAGCATTCCTATGAGTTATCTTAACACATGTACATGTATAAGTCTACAAAACAATTAAAGATGATAATTACATTTACAGAAACCAACAGCTGTGAGGTTAGGGGAGATGAAAATAATTTCACAGCAGAAATTGAAAATCAGTACCATAGTACATAATGTTAACTGCACTGAAAGCAACAGAGAAGATCAGTAAAGATAGAACAAAGATCTAAATAATGAAGTCCTTTTTTATTATTTTTGTCACTGACCTCCTGCATCCACTGTTCTTCTTCGAGAGTTACAAATTTATCCTGAGCTCCATAAATTAACAATGCAGGAACCATCAGCTCCTGATGGTAACTTTCATCTCCTTCTTCCCACACCTGGAAAAGACACAATTAAAAGTACTGTGCATGATTCTGCTTATTACCTACAAACTATTAAGAAAAGAATGTTTTATCAATGTAGTGGGCATGAAGATGACAGATGACAGTTATGCACATTTCTTGCCATTTTCTAGAATATTTGATTAACACCCTGGCAGTACGATTGCCTGCCATTGAGCACACCTGAGGCAAGAGTCTTCAAACCTGGAGATGAAAAAAATATGATCTCATGCCTACTCATGCCTATGGACCAATCTCTCCGACCTACTTGTAATGAAGAAATTGTAATACCCAAAAGATGAGATTCACCAACCTGGCCAGCCATCACAGCTTTCAATACAAATGGGGGAGCACTAAATGCTTTGAACTTTTTCTTCATTGATCTTGCCCTCTGACTGTTGTATGCTCTCCTGTAAAATAATCAAACAGCCCAAACATAACATAATAAGTAGAATTATTATCCAACTGTAGCGAATACCATCCAAATAACAGTACAAATATACAACGATATTGTACAGTTATTTGTACAGTAGAAAACCTGTTTGCCAGACAAGTCAGCGCACGCATGTAAAACTGTCCCACTCTCCCTCTTTCACTGATAAATTTATTGACTACAACAGTTGGATAATAAATCTCTTATTATATGTTCTAGTGTGTAGTATCGCTGAGTATCTTTACAAGTTGTTTGTATTTTGACTCGCCCTANGTCTATCGAGACTGTCTTAGGTATGCAATTTGCAATATGGAGCCTTGACTTAGCCAGTCAAAATTTTACTTTCTTCAAACACTCTTTCTAGTGTAAGAACACCTCATTATAGAGTATCTTAGTTGCTTATTTTTGTGATTTGGGAAAACAAAATTTTTATATCCGTGAACCACGATCCTCTATTTTTTCTTTTTGTGAAAACCTGTCCTACTCCACCCTGCACTCCTCCCTCCCTCTGCCTCCCC